CAGGGCATTAATGGTTTTATAAAAAATATTTTATAGTTTGTTACAGAAAAACAAGTTATGCTCAGAGTCCAGAGCCTCTATCATAACATTATAACAGTCACCTTATGAGTAGAGACCTATCGCGGGACCCAACGCAACAGAGTGCGGCGCAGGCAGGTAGAGACTCGTGTGTGCGGGATGCGGGAGAATAAGGGTGTACTCACACTAGGCAATCTTAATCGTGGCCGAGCGCGTTTGAGCCCCAGAGCCCGGTTCGTTTGACTAGTGTGATCGCTCTGTGCTGCACTCGGATTGCACAAATGGCTTTAAAAGTCATGGAAAGTCATTGTTCAGATGATTTGCTTTTCAAATAAGTTTATCTCGTTTAAAGGATGTTTGGATGTTTTTTCTCTAAAGCAAGACTAAATAAAAATACTTGTTAATTATGAAATTTTATTATTAATGATTATTAATTAATAATATTAGTAATTATTTTACTGTATAGCAAGTAAGAAGAAATAACAACGATAATAATAATTACTTTTTTGCAGTTATTATTATTTACTGTAAAACAAGAATTTAAGAAAATATTAAAATACTTTCATTATTACTTGAATAAATTATTATTACTTAGTAAAACATAATAATTAATGTTATTGTTATTAGTAATGTTGACAATAAGTATATTTAATATTCTTAATCAGCATAAAATAGTAGTAATAATAATAATAATATATTAATAATTAGCAACTATATAATAATACAAATAATAATCATTATTATTATTATTACTACTACTACTACTGATATATTCATAATTAACTATATTATTATTATTATTATTTATTAATAATAATTATTGTTATTTCATACTGATTAAGATTATAATAAATAAAATTATCATCAACATTAATTCAGTGCCAGTGAGCAACGGACTTTCAAAATAATAATAATAATAAAAACTGCGTTAATGTGCGATAAAATAATTGTCGGCGTTAATTAATTAATGCGTTAACGCAATAATAACACGTTAACTTGCCCAGCCCTAGTATTTATATATACATAGCAAATATACACAGTACACACACATATACTATGTAAACAAAAACGTTTATTTTGGATGCGATTAATCGCGATTAAATTAACTATATTATTATTATTATTATTTATTAATAATAATTATTGTTATTTCATACTGATTAAGATTATAATAAATAAAATTATCATCAACATTAATACTATTAATTCTATAATGATAATAATATTAATACTATAATAATAATAATAATTATTATTATTATTATAGGAGCAGTAGTATTAATGTTGATGATAATTTTCTTTATTATAATCTAATATTATTATAATAATAATAATAATTATTATTATTATTATTAGTAGTACTACTACTACTACTACTACTACTACTAATAATAATAATAAAAATTATATATTCATAATGATTAACTATATAATTATTGTTATTATTATTACTACTATTTTCATAATGATTAAGATTATAATAAATAAAGTTATTGTCAACATCAATACTATTAATTCAATAATATTAATAATAATAATAATTATAATAATTATTATTATTATTAGGAATGCTGTGGAGAGAAATCTAGCTAAAACCAGCTTCTATATGTTTTCTAGCTGGTCTGAATGACTGCCAGTTGCTGGACTTGATTCTGACTTATTCTAGATTAAGGATTTTGACCAGAAGGACTGTTGATGACTCAGATGACTCATGTTTTCCTGCAGTGATTGACAGCTGCACGGTTGCCGTGGCGTCTAACAGCACTCCGGGCGGCATGCGGCTCATCTCCTCTAACGTTTGTGGTCCTCACGGCCGCTGTCGAAGTCATGCCGGAGGGCACTTCAGCTGCGAGTGTCAGGAGGGATTCACCGGCACGTACTGCCATGAGAGTAAGCCCGATTCGTATCCCAGTGTCCTTTGCTGTCGTTAGATTCAATGCCTTTTCAGCAGAGCATCTCTCACTCTTTACTCTCAGACATCAACGACTGTGAAAGTAGTCCCTGCCGTAACGGCGGTACTTGCATTGATAAAATCAACGCATACCAGTGTATCTGTGCTGATGGCTGGGAGGGACACAACTGTGAGAGCGGTGAGTGCATTTCACCTTTGAATATCACTTTATGCAATTAAAAACACTTCTAATTTCTCCAATTATATTGATCGCTAAAATATTGTGCGTTTCCAAAACAGACATTGACGACTGCAGCATGAACCCCTGTCGGGATCGAGGAGTGTGCCGTGATCTGGTCAATGACTTTTACTGCGAGTGTGAAAACGGCTGGAAGGGAAAGACCTGTCACTCACGTAAGCCCCGCCTCCTTATTTGCATACCAGTATAAGTGGTGATAAGTATTACTATATATTTTAAGGTGATAAGTATTATAAAAGTGGCTTAATTTGTGTCAGTTAAACATCATGGCACTTCCACATCCTGGCATGAATTATATGATGATTTGTAAAATCATGTTAATTCGTAAAATCTTGAAATGTCCGGTGTCATTTCATGAAAATTTCTTTTGTCAGTAACATTTTTCTAGTTATGCTCAGTTTTAAAATATTTCAAATTGCACAAATGGCTGGAAAAGTCATTGTTCAGATGACTTTTTGCTTTTCAAATGAATTGATCTTGTTTTAAGGATGCTTAGATATTTTTGCTTTAAATAAGACTAAATAACAAAATACTCATGAATAATTATGAAATAGTTTATAATGATTATTAATTAATAATGTTAACACTATTGATAATTATTTTACTATTACTATTATTTTACTAATCATTAATTAAAATAATATTATTAATATAATAATAATTATTATTATTATCATTGTTGTTATTATTTAACTGTTGCTGTTATTTAAATGTTAAAGTAAAAATTCTAAAAATATTTATTATTATTATTAATTTGATTTAACTAACAAAGTTATAATAAAAAACATCTAAAATTTCGTCAACAATCAGCCACTATTGTCAAGCAGATTCAATATGTTTAATGTAAAAACAAAAATACAGTAAAAATCTTGCAAGTTTTTTCACAAATAAGAATATTGTCATTTAATAAAAATCTTTAAGAATGATATTTCATCTTTTTAATTTATGTGAAAAGATAATATAATTAAATATATAATCAAATGTATTTTTACAAAACTATTCGAAAAACGTCCCTGAACATTTTTGAGTGATGATACAAATGAATCATTGAATCAGAGTTTTGAATCAGTTCATTTAAACAGACTGTTTGAACTGATTCATGGAAACGAATCTGACTTTCTGACTAGTTTAATTTTTGCCAATCAAACGCTATTATCCTGCAAGTCACAAGACAATGAAAGGGTCGCAGAATTAGCCTAATAAATCATTCAAGTATGCAGTAATTGATTTGAATATAGTCCATTAGTCTGACAGCTGATTTGTTCTCGTTTATAGGCGAGAGCCAATGTGACGAGGCCACTTGTAACAACGGGGGCACGTGCTCTGACGAAGGCGACTCATTTAAGTGCATGTGTGCTCCTGGATGGGAAGGAGCTACCTGTAACATAGGTGAGCCGCTAACAACCTGGCTGAGCATTTTTGTGAACTGGCCTCTGAATCAGTTTCTAAAGCTTTTCCCCTTCACTCCACAGCAAAGAACAGCAGCTGCCTGCCGAACCCCTGCGAGAACGGAGCCACGTGTGTCGTGACAGGTGACAGCTTCACCTGTGTCTGCAAAGAAGGCTGGGAGGGCCTCACCTGCAGCCAGAGTACGGCAAAACTTCCTGTTCCACTTCCTTACTACTTCCTGTCTTGACTCCTGTCTACTTCCTGTTTCCAACTCTCACCTTCTGCTGCTTAAGGCTCTCTTCCAAACTATATACTCATTGGATAGCTCCTTAAAGCTGAAGTGTGTCGTTTCTGCGCCACTAGCGTCATCATTATAGCTGTCTCTGGATAGGAGAACGTTTTTTATCATACAAAAAAATGACACACGTCGCCTTTACCTTCAGTGGCAGAACGCCAGGCTTTTCTAAATGATCACAGAAAATGCCTTAAATAGTACAGAGTCTGATGAGTAGTTTCAGCTGAAATATTATTAGCAAACATAGCGTTGATGGATAATTGTTCAGGTGGGATTATGATCTGCCATTTATGACTGTGGTGAAATTATTGCGACTGATCTACTGGTTGACTATAATGTGAATTATAGACAGTCGTGCATGTGAACATGTTGAACAACGTGACAATAATCTTCATAGGAATGTTTCTGTTTTTGAATAACATTTAATAACAAAGTGTTTCATGTTTAATTTACAGATTCCAATGATTGCAACCCACAACCATGGTAAGCTTAATTTTAAGTCAATCAATTTTGTTGTTGCTTTCAAATTTCATTTAATATTGAATTTAATACATTTTAAAGCATGATTAAAATATCTTTTTCACTTATAAAACAATTTAATAATATAACAATAAATATAAGCAGCAATATTTACCTACATATATTTTTAAACCATTTTAATGTATGAAATACAGTGCAAATTAAGCACAGTAAATAGTATGCATAAAACTATATATAATATATATATACATTATAAAAATAGTATAAATAGTAAGCTTAATTTCAATTAAATAAATTATGTTGATGCCTTCAAGTCATATGGGAATGATCACATTTATGAAATACGCACACATAAACAACACCATAAAATAAAAAAGTATATATTTAAGTCCTGAACTTAATAGATTTTAATGAAAGAATCATGGCGGAGGCTAACTGGTTTTAATTATTATTATTTTTTTAATATAATTTTTTAAGTTTTTAATATAAGTTTTTAGTTTTTTTTATTTGTTATTGCTCTCTGTGGGTGCACAAGAATAAAAAAAATCATTAATAAATAAACAAATTATAAATAATAATAAACTGATATTTTCTTGCATTACCACTAAAAAGCTTTCTGTGTTTGCCAACAAGTGGAAGAGATAGGGAGAAATTGGAATTAAATCAGTTTACTGTATTTTAAGACATAACTTGAATAGAAATTGAAGGCAGCATGTGTCCTGGTGAACTTTGACCCCGTGTCTCATCATGTGTGTAATGTGTGTGCAGCTATAACAGCGGGACGTGTGTGGACGGTGATAACTGGTACCGCTGTGAGTGTGCCAGTGGATTCGCAGGGCCGGACTGTCGCATCAGTGAGTGATTCATGCTTCATCAGTGTGTTGTGAGGTTGTAGCTAAATTAATTCAATATAAATAGTCATATTGACACTAGGGTTGTGACGGTGAGGAAATTTTCCCACCGGGTTAATCGACGTGTGACAACACCGGTAATACCGGTATCACCGTGGGGGCGTTCCCTCTTTTCCTCGCTTTCCTTCGCTTTTAAATAGCTTGTAAAAGCGGCGTGCGCATTTTACTCAGCAAACAATGTGGAACCAATTAAATAAGAAACGAATGTTTTAAAAAAAACTTCCAAAATCAGATAAACGGCAAAAGTCAACAGGCTTTTCAAAATCCAAAATATTGCCAAACAGGCGGTTTTGCATCTCGTTTCGAAACTAAATCATCCGCGATCGTCTTGTCTGTCTCACCTCACTCTTCTTGTCAGTCAGCTCGTCTCACTCTCCTCATAAATTAAGTCTTATCTGTGATGCGACTGTCATTCGGCACGCTGCATTGAGCGGCCACGTTCAGTTTTTAATTGTAGTGTCTGTTCTTTTACTGAACTTTTTATTACTACAAAAAATCAAAACGACGGTGGGGGTCGGTGCCGCGGTGGATAAGTGATGTAACCGTTGTTGCAGCTTAACACCGGTATCACCGTCAGCACCGTCTATCGCGGCAAGCCTAATTGACACATAAGATGGTGATTTTACAGTGGTATTAAACATGCATGTCTCACCCCACAGACATCAATGAGTGCCAGTCGTCTCCCTGTGCGTTCGGCTCCACGTGTGTCGATGAAATTAACGGCTACCGCTGCCTGTGTCCACCCGGCAGAACCGGGCCCAGGTGTCAGGAAGGTACATGCTCCTTGCTTGCTGTTTAATATTAACATTATTAGTCATGCAGCTATTGCTCATACAGAATTCAAACTTAAGTGTTAAACCATTACAGAGTTGATACTTTCAATCATGCATTCATTAGGGGAACTTTTCTGTCCCCTAGAGAATCATTTAGATGTTTCTTTCTAGATTTAAAGGATATATTATAATAGCTTTTAAACTTTACTGTCTATTCTATTTATTATAGCTAATATAATATCTATTGTGTTAATATTATTGTGTAATTTATTTATTTATTTTTAATCATGATCAAACTAGGTTTGTTTGGTGTTGCTACTAAAACCCTTAGTATTTTTTTCCGCTGTAGATTTAAAGGATATATTATATCCTCAGTTTAGCTTTTAAACTTTTGATTTTATCTATTGTGTTAATATTATGATGTATTTTATTATTTAAAAAAAAAATCTAGATTTAAAGGATATATTATTGTAGCTTTTAAACTTTTGATTTTATCTATTGTGTTAATATTATGGTGTATTTTATTATGTTTTAATTTTTTTCTATATTTAAAGGATATATTATAGTAGCTTTTAAACTTTTGATTTTATCTATTGTGTTAATATTATGGTGTATTTTATTATGTTTTAATTTTTTTCTATATTTAAAGGATATATTATAGTAGCTTTTAAACTTTTGATTTTATCTATTGTGTTAATATTATGGTGTATTTTATTATGTTTTAATTTTTTTCTATATTTAAAGGATATATTATAGTAGCTTTTAAACTTTTGATTTTATCTATTGTGTTAATATTATGGTGTATTTTAATATTTAAAATAATCTAGATTTAAAGGATATATTATAGTAGCTATTAAACTTTGGATTTTATCTATTGTGTTAATATTATGGTGTAATTTTTTTTCTAGATTTAAAGGATATATTATAATAGTTTTTTTATTTTTTACTGTGACTATTGTGTTAATAGTATTATGGTTTTGTTTCATCATGAGCTCAGAGTTGGTTTGGTTTTGGTTTAATTTTTTTTTTTAATAATTCAGTATATTAAATAATTATAAAATGTACAAATAATACATTTAGTAATTTAAATTCAGAAGCAATCCATTTCTTTATTTTTGAATTAATGTTTCTTAATTAACAGTTACCACGCACAAGCTAACTTATTGTAATTAGCAAGATCGATGCTTTTTTTTGTCACAAACTGTGAATAATGGGACAAGCAATAAGTTTCAGTCAAGCATCAGTTTAATTTTTCAAGATCTCAATATTCAAAAGTGGAGAAGATAAAGTGTAGATGTAGCATGGTTTTTAAATGGCTTGTTTTTTCTCTCAGTCACCGGACGTCCGTGTGTGGTCGGAGGACGGATTGCTGTAGATGGAGCAAAGTGGGCTGAAGACTGTAACACCTGTTACTGTCACAGGGGGATTGTCAGCTGTACAAAGGTATGTCAGCGTGAGCCTGTGTGTTGTAGCTGTCGTTAATCATGGACAGAAGTTAATATTGATGCATTATTCCTTCCTCTCTTCCACAGCTGTGGTGTGGCCCTAAACCTTGCCGGATGCTTGGCTCGGGACGAGGCGACTGTCCTCTGGGTCAGCTGTGTGTGCCGGTGCGAGACGAGCAGTGTTTCGTGAAACCCTGCTCCTCACAGGGCGAGTGCTGGTCTGCTCACCGGCCGGTCGTGAGGGCCCGCTGTGACCCCGAGAGCGACTGCGCCAACGTCACCTTCACCTTCCACAAGGACACCATGCCACAGGTGAGGACACTGGGACTGGCATTTAAAGTGTGCTGGTGGGGTTGGGTGATTAGGTTGCATGTATTGGATTAATGCACACATTTTGAAATGTTTTCTGATTTGTTTTGGCTCTCAGGGAGTGACGGTGGAGCAGGTGTGTCGTGAGCTGAGGCATCTGTATGTGGCTAAAAACGTTTCAGCTGAGTTTTCCATCTCTCTGAGCTGTGAACTCTCTTCTGCCGCCAGTAATGAGATCCATGTGGCCATCGTAAGTCACATTCATGCAGTATTTCATTGGCTAGAAATAAATTGTTGTAGTGCAGTTTTAATATCCTTATAGTATTGAAGAATGACTGGAAAAGTCAAATTACTTTTGTTTATTATATTATTCTTTTTTATTTATATTATGTATTTTATTATAATTTATATTATTTGCACTAATCATTCTGCTTTAATTCAATAATAGCTTACAAGCTTCAGTCGTAAAAAAATGTTTAAATTTTTTTAATTTAAATGAGTGCTGTCAAACGATTAATCACGATTAATCGCATCCAAAATAAAAGTTTTTGTTTACATAATATATGTGTGTACTTTGTATATTTATTATGTATATATAAATATACACACATACAGTATATATTTTGAAAAATGTACATGTATTTACATGTCTATTCATATAATGTATATTATAAATAAATATATTTAATATATAAACAGCATATTTTTCTGAAATATATACATGCAACATGTATATATTTATATTCATATAATTTATAATATATGTAAATATATTTAATATATAAACATAACATTTTTCTGAAATATATACATGCATTTATACGTACATAATAAATATACACAGTACACACACATATATTATGTACACAAAAACTTTTATTTTGGATGCAATTAATCGCGATTAATGCTTTGACAGCACTAATTTAAATATTTTGTTCATTTGTATTTTATTATTATAATTTTTATTATTTTCATTTTAACACTATGTATTTAATTCTGATTTAATTTAATAATAGCTTATTAAAATATTTATGTTGATGCATTTTAAAGGAAATTTATTATATTATATTATTTTATTATATATTATGTTGTTGTATTATATTTGTTATAATTTTAACACCCCATGCATTTAGTTCTGCTTTAATGTAATAACAACAGCTTCAGTCATAAAAAGACACAAACAACTATTTAAGTCAGGATTATATTTTAAAGGAAATATTGTGTTTTGTAGCATGTGACTGAGGATGGCATTCACGGCCGAGTTCCTGTTAAAGAAATCACGGACAGCATCATCAATCTGGTGAGCAAACACAGCGCGAACAGCTCCATCATCGGCTCCATCGCTGAGGTCCGTGTTCAGCGCAGACAGCCGCAGAACCCCAATGGTGAGACACCATAGGAAGCTCTTAACATTAGAGGAAGTAGCCGCAGGTACAAATGATGGATGCTCTGATTGGAAATAAAGCACCATTTTATGCAAATTCAGAGCAAATACATAAATATTAAGATTAGTGCTGTCAAACGATTCATCACGATTAATCGCATCCAAAATAAAAGTTTCTGTTTACATAATATATGTGTGTGTACTGT